ACCTCCCATCCCATTATAGTGCATGGCAATGAAGAGGTACACGGTAGCACTGTGTCATGTGTTTCTACCTCCATGTTACTTCAGTGTTGGGGAACACAGAAAAGGCCGTTTCTTCTTCTTTTTTTCTTTTTTCTTTTATGGTACTGGGGATCGAACTCAGGTCCTTGTGCTTGCAAAGCAGGCAGCAGAACTGCTGAGCTAAATCCCAGGCCCTAAAAGGCTGTTGTTTCTGACTCAGGGGTAAAGACTTATTGACGGGGTAGCATTTCATTGCTCGAGGAAGGATGGGGAGGGGATATGAGAACTTGGGATATTTTAGGTTCAGTAAGCAGAACCAAGTTGGGAGAAAGTTTAAGGAATAATAATGAGAGGAGTAAAAATTGACTAATAATGAGAGTTGGAAAGGGATATTTAATAGTAAGGACAGTATGGAGGCCCTTGAATTTTAAATGAATTGACTTAGATGTTTTTCCTGTGTATTGGGAAGTCCTTAAATGTGGAAGCTATTTTAATAATCCTTTGCTCTTTTAACATTGTTGCTTATGTGTGTTTTCTAAAAGTGGAAAGAAATAGGCTACTGCAGCCAGGGGAGAGTTAAAATGGTAATTCTTAGATGGATATTTGTGTCATGGATCTTTTTCAGTGCTTTATCAGAATAGTGATTTATCAGAACAGTATAGAATAATTGTGACTATTTTGTAGCCTTTTACAATTGAAGTCTGGTACAATACCTTTTTTCTTTTGATACTGGGGACCGAACTCAGGACCTCGTGCTTGCCAGGCAGGCTGAGCTAAGTCCCCAGTCCTTTTTTTTTGGTTTTTTGAAACAGGGTCTCGCTATGTAGTTCAGGCTGCCACATGATAATGTTAGTGCTATTTTTATTTAGAGTGATCTGAATATGCATGATTATACATGAGTATGTATAATGCATTTTTATAAATTTTCATATGAGTGCTTTTATGTTAGGTCCATCTCAGTCTTTTATAGCAATGGATTACTTGTAAATGTGCAATGGGAGCATTATAGACGGGTATAACATCCTCCTGCATTATCAAGTGACTTAGTATTTCTTCTTTTCTCTTTCTGGTCTGAGAAAAAGTACTTTAACAGTGGTATCTCCAGTGGCCTTTAAGATAAAGGTTACAATGGCAAAATGAAATGTTCAGATGGTAGCGATGTGATACCTCAGTTTCTCAGAATCCAGAAACATTAACCCCTGGCGGTCTTATTCCCAACAGCCTTGGCTTCCTTCTAACAGTCTGATCTGAAATGTTTTAGACTGTAACTTCCTACCTAGAAATTTATTTCACATTATTTGGTATGTTTCTGTGTAGCAGGTAAAATGAGAAATTAAGCTATATATTCTGGAAAGTTGTCTGATTAAATTCCAGTTTGGTTAGTTCTGGTTCTGTAGATGTACCAAATAAATGGATAGCACTCTACTAGACAGACAGTTGCAATACTGAAAGCCATCAAAGTCTTAATCCTTTTAAAATTGACAAAAATGGTTTATATGAACTGTCTAAAGAAATCTAGCCCATGGCATTGGAGAGTATCCGCATGTGCCCTTGAGGAAAGGCTGGGATGAAGGAGAAAACATACTGCCATTGTTTTTATTTTCATCAATGTGGTTTCCATAAAAGGTTGGGCAGGTTTGCCAAATTGGAGAGTAGCAATGTCTTAGGATAAGCCTTGCAGCTGTTTTCCAAAGTCAGTGAAGCAGAAAAAAGTACAGTATGTTTTAACTCATTAAACCTGATACCTGAGATACATTGTTTCTTTTTTTTTTGTACTGGGGATCCAACTTGGGACCTTGCACTTTTGATGCAGGCAGGGGAACCACTGAGCTAAATCCCCAGCCCCAAAGATACAATGTTTCACGTTGAGTCTGGTCTCTTTCTATTTTGATCTGATTTTCATGTACATATGCCCAGTATGGTGGTGCATACCCGAAATCCTAGCACTTGGGAGGCCAAGCCAAAAGAATTGCCCTGAGTTCCAGGCCAGCCTGAACTACTAGTGAGACCCCGTCTCAACATACACATGCACATGCTCATAAAAGCCAGTGAATTGAAAGAACTTTCTGATAGTGCCCAGGCAAATGGTATGTGGAGTTACTAATTTAGCCACATTCTTGGGTATTGTACTCTTAAATAAAAATGATTATAGGTAGAAGAAAACAGCTTCTTTGCTCCCTTTACTCTATGATGAGGAATCGAAGATGAACTGATAAAATAATTGCTTAACGTGAAAAGAAAGCTGACAGAACTAAGGAAAAAAATGAAGGCACAAGCCAGTACTCTTGTAGACGTTGATACCATATCGGCAGTGGCAAGAAATACAGCAGACACTATGACAATTTGAGTTCTGGAACACAGGAAAGAAACCATAAAGGAATTAGCAAATGGAGAACAAATTAACACAGACTGGTTGTAAGTCAAATAGAGTCCTAAAGTGTCTGCCTGCCCTTTTTTTCCTTCCTTTTTTCTTTCGGTCTTTGGTACTGGGGACTGAACACAGTACTTTTGCCCTACCTCCCTTCCCCTGCCTTATTTTGGGGCAGGGCCTAATTTAAGTTCCCTAGGCTAGGCTCCAATTTGGAATCATCCTGCCTCAGCTTTCCAGAGTCCATAGGATGACAAGTATTTGCTGCCACACCTGGCTAACGTGGCTTGAAATAATAACTGAGTGATATTTCAAAAGAGGTGGTTAAATGCGAAGGATAAACCTTACTAGAACAGCTAAATTTCCAGTAGAAAGAAAGCAACCCCCACTGCTGTATATATACATAAGTCAGAAGAAAGTATTTTGAATTAAAAATGAATACTTATTTTGGTTACAGACTTCAAGTAACTACAAGTAACTAGGAAAATAGAACACTGACTATATAAAGAATGAGGAGGGGGCCAGGGATTTAGTTCATTGGAGCTGCCGCTTTCCTCAAGAGTGAGGAGGTTAAGGATGCCACCAGTTTGAGCATTTGATTCCATTTACACATTAGTACTATGTCTGTGTCAGTGGGAACAGTCAATTTTAGGGAAAGTAAAATGGTTTTTAGCCTGGAGTGTATCAGTGCAGAGTACAGCCTTGCCATGCTTGAGGCCCTTGGTTTGGTCCATGGCACTACAAAAACAAACAAAACATACCTAATATGAAGTTGCAATTATAATCAACTGGGAAAAGGTCCAGGAAATTCCAGCTAAAACCATAGGGTCAAGTCAAGGGTTGTATAATACAGGGACAAATAGTGTACTATTTAAAGTTGATAAAATAAATTTAAAGTTACATCAGCAGTTGAGGATGAACCTAAGTTAGATTTCATTATCTTCCAAATAACTAGTGTGAGTTGTGGGGTAGACAAGCCATTAAATACAAATGAAAACAGGTTTTAAATGGTATATTTCTTATAAGTAAGTGAAGCTTAACTTTAATTTAAAAAAAAAGGTTTCTAGGCCTACTACAAGCAGATTCTTAATTACACTCTGAGCAATATTAGAAAGTTCTTTGGTAGTTTCTAAAATGGATCAAAAAGCTATAAAATCCCATTGTGTCATCATTAAGAAATATAACTGAAGTGAAGGAATTGAAAGTAAAAGACCCTAAAATACCTGGGAATGGGAACTTTTAAGACAAAATAGGAATTAAGTTAGATTCTTGGGAAATGTGGTGTTACAGATTTGTTGTTGTTTGTCAAAAGGTCTAAGGTTTTGCTAAAAAGTATAAATAGTACTTTCCATAACTTTTTTTTTGTGTGTGTGTGTGGGGGATCGAACTCGGGACCACGCACCTGAGAGGCAATAGGCAGAACCACTGAGCTAAATCCCCGTCCCTCCATAACATATACTTGATATTTCAGATACTGAACTATTTGTCTGTATTTAAAGTTATGTTTATGAAGAACTAGTTTATCTGTTTGATATAAGAAATTTGCTGGGTTGTGCATTAGTTTTGTTGTTTTTAGCCCTAATGGGGATTGAGCCCCGGGGTCTTGTGTTTGCTAGGCAAGTGTTCGGCCATGGAGGTACATCTCCAGCCCTTGATATAAAAACATTTTTAGATACAATTTTTTTTTGTTTTCTCCTTGATCTTTTTTCTCAGAATATTAAAAAGTTTTTTTGAAAGATTTTATAGAGAACAAATCTGTTCTGTAGAATGAGTCACATAATTTATATTTATTTGTTTGTTTATTTGTTTATTTATTTTTGAGACAGGGTCTCACTATGTAGAGACTGATCTGGAACTCACTGTGTAGTCCAGGCTGGTCTCGAACTCACAGCAATCCTCCTGCCTCAGCCTCTTGAGTGCTTGGATTACAGGCATGCGCCACCACGCTCACCCCCTCACATAATTTATTTTTAAAATGATTTTGGGGGACAAGATATGCTTTGTTACTGGTTTACTAGAGCCAAAATAGTTAAATGGGTTAATTAAAATTACTAATAAGATGGATTCATTTGTATACGTTACTATCTAGTCTTTCAAAATACCATTATTCTTCAAAGGAAACACTAGCAATAGCTCAGCCAGCATAGCTTTGAATTGTAGTACTCCTAACTTCCAGGACTCTTGTTTTTTTTGTTTGTTTGTTTGTTTTGTTTTGAGACAGGGTCTCACTATGTACTTGAGACTCACCTGGAACTCTCTATGTAGGCCAGGCTGGTCTCAAACTCACAGCGATCCTCCTGCCTCACCCTCCCGAGTACTGGGATTACAGGCATGCACCACCACACCCGGCCATCCAGGACTCTTATTTAAAAATGCGTTTCTAAAAAGTCAAAAGAGTAGCAAAAACTTATTTTACCTTCACATACACACATACATACATACACACAGCTGCTGTTGGCTGATGTGTAAACTATACCATTCCTTTCCTCTGCACAGAAAGGTGAAGATCTTGGTTTATTTCAATCCATTGCTTTTTCCTGTAGAAAATGAGGGTTTTGGAGAGCTCTGACTGTGCTGTTGCTGGGCTCTCATCCTTTCTGTTTAAACAATGCAGGTACTTTGATGGAAACCTGGAGAAGCTCTTTGCTGAGTGTCATGTAATTAATCCAAGTAAAAAGTCTCGAACACGCCAGATGAATACAAGGTCATCAGCACAGGATATGCCTTGTCAGATCTGCTACCTGAACTACCCTAACTCGGTGAGTATCTGGTAGTTTAAGGCTAGCACTGACTCTGTTTTATTATTTACACAAAAGATAACCAGGGGACTGGGGAGCAGTAACTTAACAACCAGTAATGTATCAGTCTGTTAAAGATCAAGAAAGGACGAGAAACAACTGATTCCCCTGATCACCACACCTTAAACCCCCTTTTAAAGCAATTTGTACAGGTTTTTACCACACACCTAATTCCTCAGTTTACCACCACCATGATGAGAATTGTGTGATAGGTACAGTAAGCTATTGCAAATTGAAATAGTTTTAAATATCCAAAACCCTTATAAAATGTTTATTTATTGATTTAGCTATTTGGGGGAGTTGTTAGTTTGTTTTGAAACAGGGTCTTGCTATGTAATCCAGGCTGGCCTTGAACTCATGGCAATCCTCTTGCCTCAGCCTCCCAAGTGCTGGGATTACAGGCATGCACCACCATGCCCGGCAGTATTTATTGTTTTTTTTGAGTCAGGATCTCACTGTATAGGCTGGATTTTAATTCACTGTGTAGTCCAGGCTGACCTTGAATTTATGGTCCTCCTGCCTCAGCCTTCTAAGTGCTTAGATTACAGGCATGGGCCAACACTCCGGGATAAAATATTTTAATACTGTTTGCTAGTTAACTTTCAGGAATCATCATAAGAAACTATTTTCAGTTACACAAATCTATTCTAATAGGTTCTTAATATGAAAATTATGACATTAGAACAGATATTAAATCAAATATGCACCATAAAACTTTTTTGAGTTAAAATAGTTTATATTTGTCTCTTAAAGAAGCTTATTTGAATGGAGTTGATCCATTCAATTGTTTAATTGGTTAGAAACAACCTTTTTTTGTGTGTATGTGTGTGGTATGGCGGATTGGACTCAGGATCTTGTGCTTGAGAGGCAGGTGTGGCACCATTGAGCGTAAGTCCTCAGTCGTAGAAATAAATTTTTTTAAAGAAGAAACTTAATTACCCTTAAAGAAATAAAATGATGGGCGAGTTAAAGTAATTTAGTAGAAAAAATGTTGGATTTAATTTCTGAATTCTCATGTTCTGATCATAGACTTAACACTAAGTATTTGGCTTTGGGGCAAAGTAAAGCATTTAATCTCATTTGAGTTTTAGTTATTTACCTTGCTTTTTTTTTGGTACTGGGGATCGAACTTGGGTCCTTGAGCTTTTGAGGTAGGTGGTGGAGAAACTACTGAGCTAAATCCCCGGCCTTTCAAATGAGTTGATTCTTTCAAATCTGTTGTAGCCTGAGTATTGTATAATTTCTCTTTGCTTAAATTACAAATCCTAACTTATTTATAAAAGCAATTAGTATTAGTATGGAAATATATTCATTCATTTATTTATTTATTGAGACAGTTTTTTGGTTTTTTTTTTTTCCCCTGGTACCGGGGATCAAACTCAGGTCCTTGCACTTGCAAAGCAGGCGCGGGAACCACTGAGCTAAATCCCCGGCCCCGAGACAGAGTTTTGCTATGTAATTCAGGCTGACCTCAATCTCACAGCAGTCCTCCTGCCTCAGCTTCTCCAGTGCTGGGATTACAGGTGTGCACCATCATACCCAGTTTAAATTCATATTTTTACCATATATCCTTAACTCTTATTTGGGTATTGAAGCTAGCTGCTTACATATATTCTATACAACTTTCTCAATGCCCTTGATACAGTCCACCGGTCTCAACAAGCTGGAGCTGAAATTTGTCACATAGATTTGGAACATACAGATTTGGTATACACGTGTTTGATAATTTATTCATCTAACATATCAAGTACTATTCTAAGTTTTAAAAACATAATGGGGAATAAGTAGAAGCATAATCCCAGTCTTCATAGTAAGTGCTTTGTGAGGACAGACAGTGGGAACATGTTGGAGAGACACCTACCTGAGTTTTTGGTCAGGCAGGAATACCCACAGAACTTGCTATGTAAAACGGCCTCTGAAGGGATGGTAGTTTGGTAGTTAGGGGAACCAAGAAAATATAGCAATACTGAAACCAAAGAAAGAGAACATTATTTCAAGAATGTACTAGTGCTGAAATCTTCCGAGAAAGAATTCAAAAGTGAATTTGAAAATAGCCAGCCGTTTACTGATGACATTCAGGAAGTTATTTTAAGGAGCATGGTAGAATTAGAAACCAGGCTGCATGGAGATCAGTAGTGCAGCAAGAAGTGTAACTGTGTTACTCTTTGAAAGGAAATCCAGTGAGTGAGTGGCAGGACAAGATAATAATGGAGCTTAGAGGTTTGATAAGTTAGTGTTAAAGAAACTGCTAAGCATTATGGAAAATAGAGTCACAACAGAACTAGCACTTCTTTTCTCACAATTTTTTCACTGATAAAGGAGGATAGTTTTAACTTCTTTTATTTTGTTTTGTTTTTCATGCTGGGAATCAAACCTTTGCCTGTGCTTTGCCTCTAAGCTACATCCTCCCCTCCAACTGCTTCAGTTCGAGATGTAATTGTCACCTGAAATTCTTCACAAAGCTTTATTTTATTAATTGGATGTTAACCAATGTTTCACTTTCAGTACTCTCTGTTTATGATTTCCTTTTAATTACTTATCTATTCAGTACTTTTATCCTTCTAGAAAATTTTAGCATCATACTGTGCCACATGACAATAGGTTGTTAAATAAATTCTACTTTTTTCTTCTCTGTGGAGGTCAGATTACAGGGTCTCACTATGTAGTTCAGGCTGACCTTGAACTTGTGATAGTCTTTCTGCCTCAGCCTCCCAAGTGATGGGGAAACAGGTGGACATTACTATGCCTAGCTAAATAAATGCTTTTGATAGTTTATAGTACTTTGGAGTTATATGTCCCAGAGTATTTCAACTGTGAATTTTCTAAGATTTTGGAGTGCTCTGTGAATTCTTATTCCTTCACACACACTATCTCACTCACTCACTCTCTGGCTCTCTCACTTGTTTTTCTCTCTCTCTCTTTTTTTGGGGGGGGTTTGAGACAGGGTCTCACTATGTAGGTCAGATTGCTCTGGAACTCAGTGTGTAGCCCAGGCTGGTCTCGAACTCAAAGCGATCCCCCTACTTTTGCTTCCCAAGTGCTGGGGTTACAGGCATGCATGACCACGCCCGGCTCTTACTTGTTTCTTAAACCTGGAAGTTGTTACACATTTTATAATGTTTTGATTCACAGTAGTTTAAGATTTGTTGTACTAACGCATCATTCTACCAAGAAATACGTATAATTTAGGCGACTACTTTATCTTATGTTTATTTATGAAGATTGTGTGTGTGTGTGTGTGTGTGTGTGTGTGTGTGTGTGTGTGTGTGTGTTTTGGATATCACTCACATCTTTCTTTTTGT